AAATGGCAAATCCCTGGAGAATTTACTCCCAGCCAATGTTATCTTTTTTCTTATCTATAGTTCTTTTGCAGAAAACTTCTGTTTAGCATTTTGCATTTTTTCATTATGTATTACACCAAAATTTTATTATTTTCCTAATTATCCTCCAAGGCAGCAATTTTCCTGTCCTTTACTAGATAGAAATAACTATATTCTGGCATTTGAAGAAAAAGGGTTTTGCAATTAAGGAGGCATAGAAAAAAAATATTTTTTTCTTGATCAAAACAAGACAATCTGAGTAGGGCATTTGACTTTACAAATAAAGATAAATCTGGAACCATGCTTGCCACTTTGGAAAATGCTAATATAATAATGACTAAAGAAGTATAGGTAGTTATGTAACCTTAAAGGAGGAATGAGGAAAAAAACATATTGTTATGCAAAATTAACAAATACTAAATTACTAAGCACGAAATCATACTTTCTTACCTCCGTAGCCCATGAAATCAGTATCAGGTTAAGTCAAACCACTGCTGAGTGTGCTTTTTGATTAAATATTCTTCCCTATGGCCAAGTCTTCAGATAACGTGGCAGCCAACACAACACCGGGGTGGAAGCTGGCACTTCATGTGTTTAGCTGATAGCACTCACATATCTGTTGGCAGAGTTTAGAAAAGTTCTTTGGATAAGTGAGTTCTCAAAAACATCTGGCAGAAAACCTGTTCATATCAGTGATGCTTTTGCCTTAAAGATTCTTGAGAATTTTCACAAATGCCTAACTTTGTTTACTGATAGCTATATGGAAACTCAGCATTAATATTTCATAGAAGAACAAAAAGTCAAGATGTCTTCCTTGCTTCAAATCTGGCCAGGCAGTTGAGCAAAGGGTCTTAGTTAGTCCTTCTCAGTGTTGGAAACTTGTTTAGTCTCAAAGCTAGATTTTTGGCTCGATTGAGGAAAAATTTTGCTGTTCCATTAAGTGAGCAGTGGCCAGGGCAGTATTCTGGTTCTATCAGGAGAAGGAATCACGCATGATGACCCAGCTTGTGTTTCTTTTTCTAATAGCAGTGGGGTTGGGGTGGACCTTTGCCAAAGGAGTTATTCCAGGAGGACTTTGGTGGGCGTGCTGGATGATGAACTGGTTTTTGTGATGAAGGTCCCAGTCTCTCTGAATGCTTGGAGCTCTTTGTAAGGCCAAATGTCAAGCTAGGATAATTGTAAAGATTAGTCTTCCTGGCTCAGCAATGGCCTCCAAAAGTATAAAGATAAGAGCTCATATCTATGCGACTTTGGGGAAATTATTCTCTGTTTTGTCATCCTTAAACTGGAGGTATAACACTCATCTTTTCAAAGTTAAGCAATGAGAAGATTGAACGAGCTCACGAATGAGAAGTATAGTTTGCAAATATGTAATGTGGTAATAAATAGTAAATACAATTAAGGGGTCAGTGCAATCCTCAATAAAGTTTGTATATTAAATTGAAACATAAAGTCCTAATTAGAATTTTTATATTTGAATTACACAGTTGCACTGTGATGCATTCCTAAAAGAACAGTACAGTTAGGCATCACTAAAGAATATTATGGTTACCAAAATACAAGGGCATGGACCCATGTTCTTAAAAACAACTGCATTAAGAATCTGTAATGTGTGTCAGAATCATTCAGTTTATAGTAATATGGAAGTACTGATGTTAACCCAGGGAAAGAATATTTTCTTTAAGATCATTGACATGTGGTCAGCTTAAGAAAAGAGCTTCTCAGTGACATGAAAACTGTGATTTTGTAACAGGTAACATAATCAGACTAAAATAAGTTTTGTAAAACCATGTTCTGTAAGGGTACTTGCCCTCAGTTTTGCTCATTCTGGACATTGTAATCTTAGGGAAGTTCCATCTATTCTAAAGCAATACAGGAACATGATGGATTTAAATTGCTTGCATATAACCCAATAGTAATGCTATATACAGCGTACTTGATTATCAGAAATATACATGCGATTGATAGGACACACATTACCATATCATAGTGCAGATACAAACATATCTCTCTGATTTTAAAAATTGAACCTGGCAGAGGCCATTTTTCAGGTTAAGAGGCAGTCTGGCATCTTCCTAGAGAAATTCCCTCACCGCCTGAGTTGTGAGGGTACCACAGAGACTTCCCAGTTCCACTTAAAGACAAACTGGAGCATTCAGTCCGCGCACAGGGAGACCAGGAGGTTTCCTGTTCGTGCTCTTCTTGCTGCTGTAGCAAGTCTCTCCGTGCAGTCCAGAGAGAGGACGACCTGTGCAGGCTGGCATAGACCCTGCCTGCCTGGCGGGTGGAGAGGCTCTTGTTTGGACTTCGCCGGTCAGGTTTTTTGGTTAAGACTCACATGTTCAGACATTGTTCCCAGGCCATGGTTTCTTAGCCAGGTTGGCCTGTCCAGCCTGGGCTTCCAGCCATCGCTGCTCATTTTCCCAGAGCCAGCCTTGGCTTGAGACTTGAGTCATCAGCCCTGATCATCCTTCCCTCATGCCAAAGTCCCCTTTGGAGGCCTGTGATGTCCCTTCCTGCCGCTGTGGATGGGGCAATCTCAGTTTATCAGAGGCAGTTCTCGTTTTTCAATGACATGTTATTAAATCTTGGTTTTCATTCAGAAGCAGTAACGAAACCCTCGGCTCTTTACAAAAATCGAATTTTCCATTTATAAATCTGATTTTCTGAAGCATAAATTAAAGATATTTCTCTTGGATATTTTTATCTGTTGGATTCCATTAAGATGATTTTGAGAGGCCAGTGGGGGTAGGAGGGATATAAGATCATAAGGGGCAATTTCCCCGAAATATCTAAAATATAAAAAAAGCCACAATCTCTTTAATCATTAGTGATGTACTTTTCTACGGGTAGAAAGAGAAAAGATTCTGTTTTAAAATGAGAGAAGCCCTGGAAATCTCATCTAAGGAACTGGAAATAACTTGTCAGTACTTTTTTTCTTTCTGCTCTGAATTCATTTTTAGTAACAGTGGAAGCAATTTGAAATGAAATACAAGACTTAAAGCAAATGAAACGGAAATGAACGCTAGCAGTGAAGGACAAGAAGTACAGTTCAGTGGGTTCTTCAGAAATCTCGTCTCTTGGCACTGGATGCTGAAAGTTTCTTATTTTTTGTTTTTGAAATTCTACAATCATGAAGCTATATCCATTGTTATTAAAATCAATTCCATTATAATATGTCCATTTGTTCTCTTAATAGCATAAGTTTTCGCCTCAAACAGACCTGAACTCAGATCAAATTCCTTAAATTTCTGAGATATTTTCTTTATCCTTAGATATAAAGTAAAAAAAAAAAAAAAATTATATTGTATAAATTAAAAATAAAGTATCTTATATTGAATCTTTCCTACATGGTAGGTACTAAACACATGATGACAACAATGATTATTACAACTGATATTAACATAATAATAATAATTTGTTGTAATCTTTGAGGTATTTGTTGTTTGTAACACTTTTACAGTAAATGGTCTTAAACGAAGGAGTTTTTAAGTTCAAGTGTCCAAAGTGTTACAAAACAAAGATATTTGACAATAACGTGATCGTAATCACAATGGAGAGTTCATCGGGCAATAAACAAAAAGGTCCTGGAGGGTGAATTAAAGTGGAATCACTTTGGGAGTCCGTATTTATAATGAAAGGTTTATAACAAAGAATGTTTTGTAGAGAAACGTTGAGGGAGACAGAATTTGCTAGAGAAAGTGTCCATGATTAGGAAGGACTTCAGTGTTTGTCCTCTTTAGTTTCTTCAAGATCTCTCTTGCCTGCTTTCTACACCATTCCTTGTGTCTTTTTCTTATAGTTAAACCTAAATGTTTTTTTTTTTTTTTCCTTGAATTCTGTCCTTGGTCAATTGTGCTTCTATCTAATGGTTTCCATTGAATCTCCCCAGTTGGATATTTTGACAATAATTTAGCAAATATTTATTTGACACCTCCTGTATAACCAACATTTTTCAGAGTCCTAGGAATATATATACAAATAAAACTTGGTTCCTGATCTCAAAGAAGTTGACCTATTTGGAGGAAACAAATAATCTTACCATAATAATATAATTTCATGTAACATAAAACCTTAAGGTGACATGGACTGGGGGAGGGAAATTTAGAAAATGTTTCCTAGAGGAAAGTGAAGCTGTGCTCAGTTTTTATGAATGAAAAGTTTACAAGAAGAACAAGTGTACAGCTGAAGTTCCTGGAATAAGGAACAGTATGAACAAAATTACATTGGCAGATGTGTGGTTGATGTGTGTGGGAAACTGAAAATAATTTGTAAAGTGCAGGGTTGGGAGTAACAAAAGTTAAAAGTAGAGAGATGCATAGATGCCAGATGAGGAGAATCCTGTGTCAAAGGCTAAAATGCTTTGATTTCATCTCCAAGACAACGGGAAGGAAGCTCTTGGCAGGTCAGGGTAAGTGATTAATGACATTCCACTTAGAGTTCATAAGTATGGAATGGCAGCAACTTGAATATAAACTCTGATCAATACGAAAGACACTGAGCATTCAGAAAGACCTTTAAAATATAGAGAGAAATATTCAAAGTCTGGATTAAATAAATCCATCACATGTGTCTCATCCTAGAGAGAAGAGCCTATAGCAAATGTTGATACCAGGGTGTAAATAACCAGGAAAGCAAGAGTAAGGCAGGGAAAAAGGGAGAAAAAAAAATCAGGGTCGACAACAAACTGGCCACTGTTTGGTATTAAATAAAACTGACAACTGGATCTTGTGCAAGTGTCTTATGAACGACATCACAGGTCAGTCCACCCAGAAGGATAAAGAGAGAAGAATTTATTCATCAACTACGGTCTCCCTTGCACGCTTTCATTTCACATTGGAAGTCCCCAAGAATGTCTGTACAATGTTACATCTGAAATTCCACAGGGAAGTGCTTTGGCAGGAAGTGAGTCACATGTGGGATGCTGGCATGAGGTAATGCACTGCTGGATTAAATTTACATAGAGTTAGTCAGAGCTCATACAGACTGGGTCCCTTTTCTTGTGGCTTGCTGGAGGTGGTTCTGGTCAACAGCCCTGGAGACTGAGGCTGAGAAGAATCTATGGACTCTGATACAGGCACCCTGTGGTCGATGAGGATGGAACAATCACAGTGAGGTAGAGACGGGTAGGAGCCCATTCACCATCAAGGGCTCAGTGGATGTATTTGTGTAATGGAAAGTGAGACTGGCATTACAATTAGATCTCTGAGATTTGTAAGGTTGGCTGAGCTCTTTCACGTTGGCTAATTGATGGTAAGATATCTAACAGGGATAACGATGATCAAATCATATTGATCTTTCATCAATTGTTTTAATACAAGAAAAACAACTCTCATAAGTAGAGATTGGCTTGAATAAATGTGCTCTAGATTATATAGCCCTTCTCCCAATATCAGATAAACCCTCTATGTTCATAGACGCAGAATATTTTGAAGGAAGTAAACAATTGTGTTTCCTTAGAGAAAGACCCTGTAACATAACAAGAACATCCAGGAAAATGTCTTCTTAGTCTTTCTGTAAGACCTGTGGTCATTTGCATAGATGATGGGTAGTGGTGAACGGAAAACACCCAGGCTTTCCAGAAGCAGTTGATGTTGGCATTGGAGTAATGCTAATTTCTTAGGACTCAGAACATCAGGAGATCAAGGTAGTTTTGACTGGTGTCCAAACTAAGGAAAGTCAGCTGGGGTCCTGAGCATATTCATGGTCATCTTCTCAGCTACATAACATTGGGGGTCAGATCTTTCACCCCAAGAAGAATACCCACAATGGTCAAAATTTCAATTACTCTCACGTGAATTCTCTAAACTCTCTTTTCTCATCTGTTCTTTCTTCTAGAAACCAGTGCCACATGAATCCTTACTATCATCATGGATGAACCCAGCCTCCTACCTTTTCTGCGTCTGTATCCATGAAACAGACCACCTAATTAGAGAAAACACACATACTCAGGCACACGTAATCAGACTGACGTCAATATAAATTAGGCTTTAATTCTAATTTCTTTAGACGATTGACTTTCACATTACTCACAGAAATAACTTCAAATATTTTCTGCTCTTTTCAAAAATATGTGCCGGTTTCAACCTTGGCATTCTGGGAGGAGAGCCTTGCCTCAATCTTAAATGACTAAATAATTGGATAAGTGATTGGATAAGAATTCTCTCAATTTTCCACCAACAACATGCAAGTCATAGTGTGTCTATACTCACACTTTTCCTTTTATATCGCAATGCAGGAAGTGTCCTTCCTCCTTCTCCCCTCTCTCTATATCTATGTTTGTTCTTTTTCTCTGCCTAATCCTGACTAATACACATAGTGATCAGCGTATCATCATGTAGGAAGAAGTATTAAGTAAGGGCCTTGGTATGGAATATAGTGCTTCGAGAAAAACAGTGGCCTGACAAGAGAAATGGGTTGAGAATAGAATCATGGGGACAATCGTAATGTTTAAATGATGAATAATATAACAGTAGAGCATGAAAAAACCTGAGAAGAATTGATCAGGGAGATGTGGAGAGTATCACAGGAGTGACCCGAGCAGTCTGATAGATAAGAGAGTATTAGTGCAGAGGGAATGGTGTGCAGTGTTAAACATAGCAATGAAATGTGGTCTTGTGATTCGACAATTAGAAAAGTCCTTGGCTATCTTAGCACAAGTAGAATTAAAGACTAGAACCTTGTTTTCAGTCTGGAAAGGAAGTAATAGAGAAATGAGAAACCAAAGACTTTTCTTTGCAGATTTGAAATGAAAAGGGAAAAAGACAAGGAAGTAGCTAAAGGAAAACTCAGGTCCAAAAGAAAAGTATCTACAAGTTCTTTTTCTGTTTCTGTTTTGTTTCATTTTGTTTTGTTTTACTTTAAGTCTAAGATACCTGTATCACATTTTAAAGTCCGAAAAATGTCTCTGAAAAGAGAAGGAATAGTGTTTGCGTGGAGAGGAAGGATGCCAGTCCTCCAGCAGATGATCCAGGTGAGATCAAGAGCACCTGTGCTGGTGCTGATCTTGCATATGAGGGAACACACAAGCACCCCAGAAATGGAAGAAAGCCTGGAAGTGGTAGAGTGGCAAATTTTTTCATTGTTGCTTAGTAGACAGAATTGATTAAAGACAAGAAAGCAATTAATTACAGTGAGAGGTAAGATAGAAGATTAAAATCTGAATTAACGACAATCCTTGGGTTTTCCTTTTTTCTGCAGAGTACTTGGTGGCCTAATCCAGAAGGAGAGTCAGTGTCGTGTGTTAACCATGGTTGGAACAACAAGAACAACAAAAAACACCGGCAAGTTAGAAGAGTTTCTTTGGAGGGAGAAAAGAAAGTAAACATCAGTGGAGTCTAGGTGAGTGGGGATGAGGTGATATCAAAAGGGAGTAGCTGGTAGAGAAGATAAAAAAGAAGAAGAAACTTAAAAAATCTCTCTCTCTCTCATTTTTAAATCCAAACTGTGCTTTGAAGGCAGGCATTTTCCCTTCCGTGGCTTATAGAATCATCCAAACATCCACTCCTGGTCCTGGCTAATTGACTCAGAGGATTATTCCAGGTGGCTATGATTCTCACCATCTGCTTTGAACGCTCTCTCCAGTCTGGTCTCCCAGATTCCTCTGCCACTGGCATCATTCCTTGGAAGCTTTCTCTCTGCCTAGCCCCAACAGATTGATTACCTATTTGGACAATCACCGTAACATGTGCTGCTTCTCAAACTACCCTGATGGCAACTGTGACCGGCAGTGACTGGTGGCCCACCTTTCGACATAGCTTCCAGGACACTGACTCTGCTTGCTTCGAGGGGTGGTATTGAGAATTCATGACATGTTCTTACGTTAAGTGAATTTTGTGTCCAAATTTCTCATGACGACTTAGACATAATTAAAACAGTGGTAAAAAATTTTAATACGCAGGACCATATAAGGATAAAGTGTAAAGGCTAGAGGATAAAAATGTTAAGCATTTATGATGTTTGATAATCAACACAGTTATATGGTGATATGAAAATGTAGCTCCCTTTAGAAGATAACTTTCTGGTGTTTAATCTCCCATATTTTGGAAAAAAATTGGCTATTTTCCTGAGTTCTTCTATTTATCGAGTCGTTATTATGCCTTCTGTAATGTAGGAGTATGCTTGGTTAAAATCATCATTATCTTGGAGATCTACTGGTTTTTTGGGTTAATTCGAAAGTAGGAAACAATTAAGCTTTGACCGCTGGAGTTCCTTAGAGGCCCGGGTTGCAAACCTGATTCTGCCTACTTTTTAGGGAAAAATAATTGTTTTGTATTATCAGATTTTTCATCTAGTACCGAAATTCAATGAGCATGCTAGTACTTTATATTGCTGTGTAATTCATACTGGGGATACCATTCTTCATTTATCACAGATGTTTGGATAACCTTTACTTTATGATGGAAGCGGTACAGCGCTTAGAGTCAGAAACCTCTGGAATTCATTTCTTCCTCTGTCAATAATTTGTGCTGTCACCTTGAGAAATTATGCCATTTTCAGACCTTTAATTTCTGCCTCTGTAAATATGGTCCATTGCTCTCATTCTTAAAGTAGACATAACCATTTACATTAAGATACAGCCTAAAATTATAAAATTGACTTTATTTTAGTTTCACAGCAATGTTAAATATACAGACAATTTGCTTAGTAATTTTTTTCCTGTAGCTTTTCTTCAATGATGTTTTAGCAAAGAGAAACTTTTACTAGAATAGTTACATACATGCCAACAGTTCTATTTTAAAGTGTTTTCTGGCCTTTGTTTTATGAAAATTCTATGCGTTACCAGTATGCAGTATAAGCAAAAGACAGAACAAACTCCAGGGCAATCTATCATCATTTATGTAAAAAATGAGGGTTTAACATATCAGAAATTCTTAAACTGTATTCTTTCAAATTCCATTCACACATGGCCATTGCCTCGTAAATGAGAGATCATCATTTACTAAGTCACCACTGTTCTTGCAATCTATTTGAAAACAACTTGATTGAACTATTTATTTCTATTTCATCAATATCATTAAAGAAATGATGACCACAAAAAGAGTCACTAAACTTTTGCAGAATTATTCCCTTCAGTTAAAATGCTTGCATATTTATTTTTGGAAATATATTTTATTATTAAATAGAATAGTACAATTTTCCTTCAAGTTGCTTTACCCAAGATGAAAATTTTCTAATAAAACACTGGTCATTACTATGTTCATCCCAGTAGCATGCGAAGTTCATTTAGGTATTCTGATATTTTTGCTCTACCAGCTAAGCTGAAGGTAGACCTTTTAAAAAAATCATCACGTAAATTATGTCTTTGGTTACAACTCAGCAACAACAACAACAAAACAAACAACCCAGTTAACAACCATGCAAAAGATAGGATTACAGCTTTTTTCACAGAAGATGTACAACTGGCTCCAAAACACACGAAAAGAAGCTCAATATCATTAGTCACAAGGGAAACACAAATTAAAACTGCAGTGTGATGCCATTTCACATCTACTGGATGACTAAAATTAACAAGACACAAAAAGCAAATGTTGGCAAGGATGTGGAAAAGTTGGAATCCTCATATACTGCTAATAAAATTTTAAAACGATGCAGCCACTTTGAAAAGCATTTTGGCTGTTCTCCAAAATACTAAATATGGAATTACCCACATGACCTAGCAATCCTATGCCTAGGTATCTATTCAAGAGCAATGAAAACATATGTCCACACAGAAACTTGGACATTAATGATCACAGTGACATTATTCATAATGACCAAAAGGTGGGAACAACTAAAATATCCACCAACTGATGCAGTGAATGAACAGAATGTGGTATAACCATGGAATATCATTCAACAATAAAAAAGAATGATGTATACTACAACATGGATGATAACTGAAAAACATTATGTTAAGTACAAGAAACTGGTCACATTACAAATTATATAAATGTCTAATCATTGTGCTGTACATATGAAACTAATATAAAATTAAATTAAAAAAAGAAGCTGGTCACAAAAGACTAAATATAATCCCATTTATGTAAAAAGTGCAAGTAAATCTGTAGAGATAGAAAGTAGATTAGTGAAGGGAAGGATGTGTTATTACTAATGGCTAATAAATTTCTTTTCGAGGGGATAATACAGTATCTCAAATTAGATAGTGGTGATGTTTGCACAACTGAGAATATGCTAAACAGCACAAAGATGTACATTGTAAAAGGGTGCGTTTAATGTTTGTAAGTTGTATTTCATAAACAGCAATAGACAAGAATGAAAGCAAAGGAATTTATTTTATTTTTATTTATTTTTTTAATGCCTTCAGCACCTGGTCTTCTTAGGTGGCCTCCCATCCAAATATTAACCAGGCCCAACCCTGCTTAGCTTCTGAGATCAGAACGAGGCACATTCAGGGTGGCACAGCTGTAGTCACAAAGGAATTTAAATCATTGTTCATGACTCTGTGGGAGAATTGTTGTCAGTGATGAGGTAGACTCTCAGAATTCATGGCTAACTTGGAATTTCCATAGTTGTATGATGAGAAGAAATTTGAAGTCATTCTGTGTAATGTTTTGAGTATCATGGGAAAACAGAGGGTGATTTTCAGAAGGAAGAGAGGTTGAATAAAAACTGACAATTTTTAATTTTGCAAGTGACAGTAAAATAAAAACATAACTGATTTTTTTTTCTAGGAGAGATGGAAAAAAAGTGAATATTTGCCAAACAAGGTAAAAGCAACTAAACTAGAATGCCCCTTAGTATCATTAAGTGTAGTGGAGTATGCACAAGTAGAATGCCCTGTCCTTTCTTCCTGGCCTCCTGTCAAAAGGAGTGAAGACCCTTTCTATATTCAGCCTTACTTATCTAGCCATGAAACAGACATATGATATTCATCTGTATCTGTGATTGTTGGGGCTGGAGTAGAGCTAATACTATCTATAGACTACACATTGATGTGTATGTGAGCGTTAATATTTTGGAGAAATGGATTCAGAGTATAGTTCCCGGCAATAGTACTAGTCCCCCAAATCCTCACTCTTGTGTAATGTTCATCATATCGGGAGAGATATCATGCAAATAAACAAGCAAATTAATAAAGAATCAATTCATAATAAAAACAGTCTATCAAACTGTCTTAAAGCATTTCAAGTAATATTTTGTGGACAATAAAAATATTGGTTTAACACACCTTCTGGAACAAATGGCTAAATTTATCTCAGTGTTAAAAGTTCATCTACCCTTTGTCGTGCATCCATGGAATGGAGGGAGGAGGGGAGAAGATAAATAGCTGGTGAATGGAGACAGTTTCCCGTCCATCAATAAGTGTCTCCTGATGGCTCTCTACCTAAGTAAAGTGTTCTCTAAATCCGGGGTCCCCAACCCCCAGGCCACAGACTGGTACCAGGCTCGTGGTCTGTTAGGAACTAAGCTACCCAGAAGGAGGGGAGTGGTGGGCAAGGGAGTGAAGCTTCATCTGTATTTGCGGCCGCTCCCCATTGCTAGCATCACCACCTCAGCTCTGCCTCAGATCATTGGGCATTAGTTTCTAACAGGAAGACAGGTCCCTGGTGCCAAAAAAGTTGGGGACTGCTGCTCTAATTTGATCTTGAAATAAATTTCTCTAGTTTCTAAGAAGTAGAGCAGAGAAGGCAAAATTCCTAGTCTGCACATAAAGATTCTCTTGTTTTTCACCCAGCATTTCCTTTTCCAGGTATCAAGCAATAAAGCAGAGTTACAAATTTCTTGACTAGACAAACCTACAAATTAGAATACATTTGATTTAAGAATCTGATTAAATTATTTTAATAAAGTTCCGATAACTCTAGGACAAAAATCTCTGTACAAATTATATATATTTTTTCTGGTGAGAAGAAATAGTAGGATTCATGAATCATGTTACTTATATAAGGCTAGCTTTTTTTCTAACTTGCAGGGGTTTTGTTAAAAAAAAAAAAACAAAAAACTTCTTTCGTTAAATCATCCAGGCCTTTGGATTTAAATAAAAACTAAACAGTGTAAGTGTTTTACTGCCAGTACAATAATAGCATATGCCTGATGTCTTCTGGTTTCAAGCTCATTTGCTGCTGTTATAATTCCATATCTCCTAGTATAACCTCTAGTGAACAAAAATGGAAATAAGTTGTTAGGATATTCAGTAGTGACATGAAATCACGTTTTATCCATTATCCTTGATTAACTCTATGTAAAGTGTTCAGGCAGAGGTCTTAAAAAGCCTCGTTTAGAACTGCGGCTAACCTTTCTAGGGGAGGAAAGGAAACAATTTCCTTTTGGGTCATCAATCAATGAATAAGCAGCTGGGTTCCAATTGGAAAGCTGCTAGTGCATCGCCAAATAGAAGTGGTTATTAACCAGTCTCTGAACAGAATATGTTATTTCCATTACTTTTCTCACTCCTGATGAGCAGATAAATGGACAGAAAAAAAATAAATTGACCAAAATAGAGCCGAAGATGATGTATTTGCGAGCCACCAAGGTGTCAATGAAATTCCTAACAGCTTCCATCATGTCCGAACACGGTAGAGTAAAACCAAGTCAAAAGAACAAACACTCCTTATGTGTGATAACATGCACAGTTCAGACTCATTTTGGATTCAGGAAAGCTAAGCACAATAGAAAACGAAGACATAGACCCTAGCCTCAAGTTGCTCATAGCTGTGAAAACAGAGAAAGAGTAAGATTGCCATACGCACAGTAACCAAAGTAAAGCCAGGGCGTTCCGAGATATGTTAGTTAGCAAGGAAACTAATCTGTGATTTTAGGGCCAGGAAGACTTCCTGCACTGAGTTTTTAAAAATGCATAAGGGATGAATAAATGAATAAGAAGGAAATCGTATTCTATGTAGAAGGAAGAGAAAGGCAAAAGAAAAAAAAAGATTGAAAAAAGCAAGGCAGGAATGTAAACTGTATGTTGTTTAACGTGGCTGGTGTGTAAGGTTTGGATGGTTATGAAGTAAAAAACAAGATGGGACATTTGCAGATTTTTTTAAAAGAGAAGATTAGAATCTCCTGGTTGCTACAAGAGATTCAAATTTGATAGTTATTTTATCAGGGTGAACCAACCTACACAGGTTGGGGGAGCAGTCAGTAGAGAGGAGAAAAATGAAGGACAGAAAGGTTACAAAATTAATTCTCAAAATGCCTGGAGTCCTACCATATGAATCGCCAGGTAAAGAATGTGAAGGGGTATTGACTCTGTAGCTGTGGGGAAAAGAAGATGAAAAAGTTTCTGACAAATTGTCTCTTTTACCCTGGGACTATGGTCACCAGCTAGGGACAATTTGGCCTCCTCAATTGTATTTGGCAATATTTGGAGACATTTTTGGTTGTCTTGACTAGCCGGGGTGCTGCTACTGTCATTTAGTGGATAGAAGCCTGGGACACTGGTTTTAAACATCCTACAATACATAGCACAGCGCACCCCCTCTACCTCCATAAAGAAAAGATTTTTTTATAGCCCAAAATGTCAATAGTGCCCAAGTGAAGAACGCTGCTGTAGGAAGCAGTAGACTATGTTATTTGTAGATTTAAGAGTTTGAGAATTAGGTATAAGCTTCAAGAGAATAAACGAAATTTGGAATAACCCCTGAGCAGAATGGTAGAAATGCTCAAGATGGCCAAGGGATGGGAAGGTATGGGCCAAAAATCTAGCATGTCTAAAGCTAATGGACAAAATTGAGCAAAATTACAGAAACAATAAGTGAGAAGTTTTGTGCCATGACTATAGAATGGCGGAACCAAGTTTTTCTCTGGAGGAAGGATGATGCCACGTAAGGAAGAAGATGAAGCTGAGGCCTGTCTCTCCTGGCTCGCTTGCCATTTAGACCTATCATTTCAGTCTCTAGGTAAAGAATGTGAAGAGATAATCTGCCTTCCACCACTTGTAATCCACCTTCTAACACCTCTTTCTAAGGAAATTGCTTTCACACAGGCTGCTAATAATTGTTTTATACCTTAATTCAAGAGACAGTCTTCAGTGCTTACTTTCCTTGATACCTATACTGTTGGCCAATTGATTCTTGAAACAAAC